TCTCCGTGGCTGGAAGGGGTGGCAGCTTCTACGGACCTGTAGGTTTTGGTGCTGGCACTGGGATCTCCTGTAGTTTTGGTGGTGCAGTTGGTGGTGCCTTTGGGTTTGGAGGTGGCATAGGTGGCCCTGGATTCGCTGCTGTCCCTGCTGGAGGCATCCATGAAGTTTCAGTCAACCAGAGCCTTCTGAAACCTCTCAATCTGGAGATTGACCCCAACATCCAGAGTATCCGTAAGGAAGAGAAGGATCAGATTCAAACCCTCAACAATAAATTTGCCTCCTTCATTGACAAGGTGAGATATAAAATTTCTTGGTTATGCTATGTTGATTCTTCAGTGGGGAAGGACAAACCAGGGCAAGTTATATCTTTATCAACAATTTTGCTGCTCTTGTACTGCCATTTCTAACATCAACAGCCTGGGAATAAAAACTGAGGGGTTTCAGCTTTGAGACCATTCACCTCTCACATTAATACTGAGATAGACCAGCCAACGGGGGGAAAATGGTTGATATAGGATGTAAGGAAGCAGAGTTTGCAAAGAGAGCAAGGATGTTAACATCAGATGTGCAATGCTTACTTGCTTGTACAAACTGTCAGCTGTTCCCCAAGGGCTGAGAGCTCCCACCTTCCAGCAAGTGAATTTTTATAAGATTGTACTTTGCCCCTCTAAGGAAAACCATCATTACTTCTGAAATCATTATTTCTGAAACATCTTTCTCGATCCAGGTCCGATTTCTTGAACAACAAAACAAGGTCCTGGAGACCAAGTGGGCCCTTCTGCAAGAACAGGGGAACAAAACAGTCAGAAACAACATTGAGCCCCTCTTCGAGACCTACATCAACAACCTGAAGAGACAGCTGAACAGCTTGCTGACAGACAAGGAGAACTTGGAAGGGGAGCTGAACAAGGTGCAGAGCCTTGCTGAGGACTTCAAGAACAAGTAAGTCCCTCTATTTGTGGTCTGCCTGGAGAGCAGGGTGGGCTGTGACAGATGCCAGCTCTCTGTTGCATCTCTGCACTCAAAGAAGGTCTTTTTGGTGATATAATCTTCTGAGTAAGGCCTAAGTTAAGTTTAATATGAGACATATTCAGTGTCAGCTCCCTGTGGCTGAATTTTCACAGGCAGAAAATTACAGGGCTAAGAGACCAAGGTACACAACTGTACATACAAAAAATATATATAAAAAAAGAAGCTGGTCCAAAAATATGAAATAACTTTTGTACCAGCCTAGATCAACCCTCCATTTTCATCCTGCAGATACGAAGAGGAGATCAACAAGCACACAGCTGTTGAGAATGAATTTGTGATCTTGAAGAAGGTGGGTGCACACGCGCGCTGCGCCTCCCAACCCTGCCCAAGCATAGCAAGAAATATGTTCTCCAGCTTTTCTTCCACTTCTCTGAAAACTGCTTCATTTTTGTGATGTTTTTCCTCTTCCAGGAGGTGGACGCTGCCTACATGAGCAAGACAGAGCTGCAAGCCAGGCTGGACTCCCTTATGGAGGAGATAGATTTCCTGAGAGCACTTTATGAAGCCGTAAGCACCAGTATTTACATCCTTCTCCCAGTTTCCAATATTCTTGCCTTCCCTTCCCACTTCAGAGGCTCAGGGCTGGTTATTTCCCACTCTGATGCACTAAATAGTTCAATGCTTTTTCTATTTCACCTGCTGTCTTAACCCTGCCTGAAACAGTCTTAGTAAAATCACTTTGTCCACCCAGGTCTACCCTCTAACTTGGGAGGTTTCCTCCCTCTGAGCAACAACCGTGTCTCATGTCTGCAACTCATAGAAATACCCACTGCTTTTGCAGGAACTGTCCCAGATGCAGACCCAGATCTCTGACACCTCTGTCATCCTGACCATGGACAACAACCGCAGCTTGGACATGGACAGCATCATTGCAGAGGTCAAAGCACAGTACGAGGACATCGCCAACCGGAGCCGGGCAGAGGCTGAGTCTTGGTACCAGTCCAGGGTGAGTGTGTAGGAAGGCTTCTGCAATGGGAAAACCACACTGCCTTCCCCAAATCCCCATGGTGGGTGGGTCCCACT